ATAGTGATAAGTAGGAGTCTTAGTATATGTTACTAAAACATGCGAGATTCCACAACGATAAAAAAATTCTGAAAGGCTCCCAATTTTAATGATCGCCCAAAAGAGTTTGTTAGGATTTTTTTACGATCTTGCTGAGCTTGCAGCCTATCAGTCTGCTGTTGTACTCACTACTGCTAACCCCCTTTTTATGCATTTTAGCTTTATTATTAAGTATAATTTTCTTCGCTTTTACGCCATATACAATTCAACAACAAAGTTATAAGAATTTTAAAGCAGCATAGCAACATATGTTTGGAATTCCTTCTCGCTTCATCTTATTTTTTTCGATAACTTTAAGACCCAAGATTTTTTCTTAATAAATATTTAGTTTCCTTTCCTTTTGGTATTTGTAGTCTCGTGCTTATATGCAATTAAACACACTGTATATTAAATACCAATTACAAATAAACGAAAAATAAGTAGCTACCTCGAACTTTGTTACAACGAATCTTTATTGAATTCTACTACTTTTTCGTGTGTTTTTCAAATATTCCTCATGAACTCTGCAATTTTTCAACTCTTTTGTCTAACCATAGTTATCTTCCTGAATAAAACAAAGCTTCATACGACGAAACTAATGACGAAATTTCTGTCAAGTAAAAATACAAGAGCCAACCATCAAGGAGGGAAAAAACCCGATCATTACGAAGAGATCTATTGTCTAATCAGTCAATTAAGGGTAAAGATTCCTTAGCCTCGAGTCGCTATTTCAGAATTTTTTATTTTTATTTTCTCGAGTAGAAAAGGATAACCTAATGTGCACAAATTAGCTCTCTACGCATTTGCTATTAGTGAAGACACTGTTAGGAGAAAATGTCAATTTCGAGATTTTTTTTCACTTCCGAAGCGAATCCTTGACAATTTATTTGACGAAGTCCTTTCGGTAAACAGAGAATCTCATTTTATTCCTTTATTTTATCAAAAAATGTCTGTATATGCGACCTCAAATCTATGTCCTTCAAATATAGACTGACAAGCGAATTGTCGGTCTAGTTTGAAGCAAAATGAGAAAGACTTACGAAGGATGATATAACCTTTTATTAATTCTTGAAATTTAGGGAAAGGCATTATTTGTAGTACAGAATGAAATTCCATTTATTAAGGGTATTTAAAGTAACATAAATTGAAATTGAAATTTAAGTAACGCAGTCGGAGACTACACAAAATGATCTAGTACTTAAGCTGACACGTATAACGAAAGTCGGCAAGCAAAATGGCTAAAGCCAGAATAAACTTTGTCAGAGATGGCGGTAGAACGTAAACTGCGAGCGAGGTTGCTAGAAGCTTTAAAACATTCACATCTTCCGATTAAGGATATTCACATCTTCCGATTAATACTAAAAGACTAAAAACCTAAAATACTAAAAAACGTAATATTCTTAAATATTTTTCCTCTTAAGTTCTCAAATAACTTTTCTAGACAAGGTCTGGTTAATCCGTCCGCAGTTAATCAGGAGCTAACTTATTTATAAAGTATTTCTCCCGCCTTCTTAGCATGCTGCGCTTATTCCAGAATTCCGTGGTTCGATTCCCGGCGAAGAATTTGCGCATTTTTCATTTCCTCTGCTTCCAAAAAAATCCTAATGACTCTACATATTTATTAAATTATTACAAATTATTATAGTACGGTGTTATCTTTAATTAAAGAAAAAAGTTGCAATTCAAAAATTCTAATTGAAGAAAGACACTCTTTTCTGATTTCAATCCCTCTAAAGAACTAATTTACGTCGTAATACTATAAAAAATTTAAAGCTACTGAATTTATTATCTATGCACTGTTATTTAAGTATATGTCTATCAAACTGAACATAGTATTAGAAATAAAACTTTAATTAAAATATCTTATGCTCAGCTGTCATGGTGACACTGTCGTGGGACCCAGTAAACAGCTGTAGATTGTCATAAACCAAATTTATATGACTCTACATTTTTATATACTAAGGAATCTTTACCCTTAATTGACTGATCAGACAATAGATCTCTTCGTAATGATCGGGGTTTTTCGCTCCTTGATGGTTGGCTCTTGTATTTTTACTTGACAGAAATTTCGTCATTAGTTTCGTCGTATGAAGCTTTGTTTTATTCAGGAAGATAACTATGGTTAGACAAAAGAGTTGAAAAATTGCAGAGTTCATGAGGAATATTTGAAGAACACACGAAGAAGTAGTAGAAGTAGTAGAATTCAATAAAGATTCGTTGTAACAAAGTTCGAGGTAGCTACTTATTTTTCGTTTATTTGTAATTGGTATTTAATATACAGTGTGTTTAATTGCATTTAAGAACGAGACTACAAATACCAAAAGCAAAGTAAACTAAATATTTATTAAGAAAAAATCGTGGGTCTTAAAGTTATCGAAGAAAATAAGATGAAGCGAGAAGGAATTCCAAACATATGTTGCTAAGGTGTGTTAGAAGCCAAAAATATTCAAAAAAGGGTGATATGGGATTTTTGCATTTACAAAATTTTGTACACTTTTATCTTTCTAAAAATACCATACTTTAATCTCTAGGAAAATTAGAACTGTAAAAAAATCTAGTTTTAATTTATCATCGAGTGTTTTGATAAATCAGTATTTTTAAACCAAAATGCGTTTTCCTCCAAATGAGATTTTCTATACTCGATGTACCTTTTCTCAGGAACTACTGGCTATATAGGTATTAAAATTTTTTTATGCCTTATTTATTATGTTTTCTGATGTTTACTAAATTTTTTTTAAAGCTCGAATTTTTTTCAATAGCTCATTCCAGGATAATGAGAAATGTGTACTTACGTGCACATTTCTCATTATCCTGGAATTTGTGTACGTAATTACACAAAAATTTTCAAACGTGCATCTACAGCAAATTTTGAGTAAAGGTACATCGAAAATGGCCAATTTAATATGATATTTCTAGGGGGTTTCGGATCCCCTTAAACACCCTACAACTAATTTGCACTCACGCGAGAGCTACGGAAAAAAGAATTTATAGTAAAGTTTTAAATCATAATAATTGGTTAATAAACATAAGATGCCTACAAAATTTCTCAAGAATCACTCTTTGTTGTATAATTTAAGCTTCTCATTCAAACGCAGGTATTGAAGTACCCAAATTAATATGCCTTAGCTTTCTGGTCTGTAAAAATCAATTTGCATGTTTGTAATTTTTGTTTTCTTCACAAAGTAATGTTTGTACCTCCTGGAGTGAAAAGAAAGCACAGAGCTTCTAGATTGTTGGAAAGACCTTTTTTTCTTTGGTTCTTTCAAGCTATTTTAAGATTTTTCTCTAATAGATGCTTTGATTTTCTCATACTCTTAAGCGCTACAGGTTCAGAGGAAGGATATGGAAATTTAGTTTATGACAATCTACAGCTGTTACATGGTGTCACCACTGACAGCTGAGCATAAGATATTTTAATTAAAGTTTTATTTCTAATACTATGTTCAGTTTGATAGACATATACTTAAATAACAGTGCATAGATAATAAATTCAGTAGCTTTAAATTTTTTTATAGTATTACGACGTAAATTAGTTCTTTAGAGGGATTGAAATCAGAAAAGAGTGTCTTTCTTCAATTAGAATTTTTGAATTGCAACTTTTTTCTTTAATTAAAGATAACACCGTACTATAATAATTTGTAATAATTTAATAAATATGTAGAGTCATTAGGATTTTTTTGGAAGCAGAGGAAATGAAAAATGCGCAAATTCTTCGCCAGGAATCCAACCACGGAATTCTGGAATACGCGCGCAGCGTGCTGACCACTACACTACGGAGACATGCTAAGAAGGCGGGAGATGGAGAAATAAGTTAGCGGACGGATTAGCCAGACCTTGTCTAGAAAAGTTATTTGAGAACTTAAGAGGAAAAATAATTAAGAATATTACGTTTTTTAGTATTTTAGGTTTTTAGTCTTTTAGTATTTTTAGTTTTTTTAGTAATACTTCGTATTTGTATATTTTGGGCTATGCCGACGACCATTAATAGCCTGAATAACAATTGCCAGAAATGAAATTATTTGCAATTTTCTTCGTTAGTCTAACGATACACCTGTTGTGGAGAGTTTGATTTCGATTAAATTATTACATGCATCATACAAGAACTGTTTTGCTGCTTTCCAGTCAATATTTCATGGAAGAATGGTTGTCGGAACCTTAGAGACGTCTTCTTCCAACTGAAATTTTGAGAACATTGAGGGAGTATCCCATGGGATTGGCCAAGGGAATCCCACTGCTCTCTCTTGCCACCAAACCACACGAGAGAATTTAAGTCCGATTATGATATACCATATTGATAGTTATCGATATACCACATCCCTTTCCTTTTATCACAACTTCAGTCTATCTGGGGAACGTCGAATTCTACTGGACCGACGCAAGGGTTGTGGCAGTACTTGGTTTCTTTGGTAACCTTGCTGTATCAGCATCAGGTCCGGTAGATGGAACATTTGGTACAACCTTGGGCTCGGAGGACGACATAGACTGATCTGCCTGGTGGCTATTGTTTTTGGATGGTTCTGGAACTCCACTTTTATTGGGCTCTTTGGTAATCATGAGAGCTGGAGGTGAACGTATGAACCCCTCATCTGTTATGGTTCCTCCATCACGCATCTGATCGGTATGTCGTCCCCATAGCTGACCATCTATATTTATGGTGTTATGAAGCTGCCTATCCTTGGATTGGACGGTTCCAAATTTACGTCATCTATCACCTTGGCAATAATTTCTTACTGTCACTGTATCTCCTACTGTAAATCCTCGGTCTGGAAACTCGTAGGTTCCTTTTCGAACTCTGTCTTCTACCCTTCTTTTGAGATCTAATCTCAATAAATCTATTCTTGTTCAAATTTTCCTCTTCAGCATTTGCATTACAGGGCTCTGTAGAGTAGTTAAAATCGCAGCTTTCCTATACTTCCTCAAAAATGTACTGAGTTTTTGTCTCAAAGTTCCTGAATAATTTTGCATTGTTCTTAAAAATTGTTTTACTGTAAACACACACCGTTCAGCCTGCCCATTATTGGATGGTTTAAACGATGTTGTAGTTTTGTGTTTGATTCTGTTACTCTGAAGAACTCAAACTCATGTGAAGGGATTTGCGGCCCATTATCACTCACTAACAATAGTGGTAATGCAATTCGTGCAAAAAAATCCCGTAAACATTCTATTGTTCTGAAAGTCGAGCATGATTTCATTGGATAGGCTTCTAGCCCTTCTGAGTGAGCATCGGCGATTATCAAAAACATATGCTCAAAAATATGTCCTGCATAATCGATGTGAATACGTTCCATTGGAGCGGTTGGGTACTCCCAATGATGAACGTTTACCTTAGGATCTAGTTTATGTTTTGTACATTCAGAACAGTTTTGGGAAGTATTTTCTATATCTTTACCATTCCAAAATACGTCAGATCTAGCAATTGCGTTCATATTTACAGTCCCTAAATGTCCGTGGTGCAACTCTTTCAAAACATTCTCACGGTATCGTTTTGGAATACAAAAGCGTTGACCATACACTATACAGCCATCTTGTAGAGTATACTCCATCTCCCTTTCCTTCAATTCACCGCCGCTTTGAAGTGTTCGTAGCAGAGGACTGAGTTCAGCATCAGTTTCAGTTTCTTTAGCTAAATCTTTGGCAGTAATTGGAAGAGTTTTAATCTGCTGTAATTTAAAAATACGAGGGCCATCCAGGAAGTAGATTACGTTTCCGTCTGTGTCCGCTAGGGGCGGGGCTAGCGCGGCCATCTTGGGGTCAGAGCGTTGCGCAGCTCAGTCTGCATCTAGCCGTGCTAGTGAGAGGTTCGTGCTGTGCTCCGTTCAGATACTGTGACGGTTTGAAATGTCTGCGTTAATTGAAAATCCCGCGAGCTGCGAGGTGCGCTCAGTAATAAGGTTTCTGACTGCAAAAAACTGTAAACCGATAGAAATCTATCGGCAGCTTCGTGAAGTGTATGGGGACAACATTATCACTGAAGGTGGAGTGCGTCAGTGGGTCATAAGATTTCAAAATGGCCGAACCAATGTTCACGACGAAGATCGAAGTGGGAGACCCAGCATAGTGACCGCCGAACTTCTCGAAAAAGTCGATGCTAAAGTCCGTGAAAATCGAAATTTCACAATAACGGAACTTTCTTTGAGTTTTCCACAAATTTCGCGAAGTTTGTTGCACGAAATCATCAGCGAAAAGCTTGGTTACCACAAGTTTTTGTGCAAGATGGATTCCAAAAATCTTGACAGAGGACCACAAAAATCAGCGAATGGCTGCAGCGTTGAACTTTTTGGACGCTTACCATAAGGATGGTGACTCTTTACTCGATCGCATCGCCGTTACTTGGTGACGAAACATGGGTGAAACATGTGAACTGTGAAACGAAATTGCAATCAATGCAGTGGGGGCACACAAGTTCTCCCCAAAAACCCAAGAAATGCATGCAAACAATGTCGGCAAGGAAGATGATGGCGACTGTTTTTTGGGACAGAAAAGGTGTAATTTTGGTGGACTTCCTGGAAAGAGGCACTAAAATAACTCTCAAAGGTATTGCCAAACTCTCCAAAAACTCAGAAGAGCAATTCAAAACAAGCGCAGAGGAATGTTTGAGCTCTAAGATCTTGTTGATTCACGACAACGCCCGGCCCCACACGGCAAATGTCACTCGTAAAGTTCTTGAATCTTTTAAGTGGGAGTTGTTTCCTCATCCGCCGTACACAGTCCCGACCTGGCACCGAGCGACTTCCACCTATTCCCAGCAATGAAGAAGTGGCTGGCTATGCAGCGTTTTGATGACGACGCACAGCTGCAAGAAGAGGTAACGAAGTGGTTGAAGGCGCAGGCGGCCGAATTTTTCGACGAAGGAATTTCCAAGCTCGTACATCGCTACGATAAATGCCTTAATTTGTATGGTGACTATGTAGAAAAGTAGTATTTGAGTGTGGCTTTCATCTGTATATAATAAAATTTGTTTCCTATACTTTGTTTATTTTTTTATTCCAAAACGTAATCTACTTTCTGGATAGCCCTCGTAGTTACATCATCCTGAACAGAAAGTTGCTGTGAGTTCGTCGGCAATCGTGATAGAAAGTTAGCATTACCACGCTGGTTTGTTTTACGGTAAATAATATCGAATTGGAATGAATGTAAAGCCAAAGAGTAATGCAGGAGTCTTCTTGCTGCCAAAACTGGCATGCCTTTCTTTGAGCCGAAAATTGCAACAAGAGGTTTTTGATTTGTAATTAATGTAAATTTCCTGCCTTTTAAGTACAGCAAAATTTTTTTAATTCCCCAAGTGATTGATAAAACTTCTTTATCGGTGTGAGAATACTTCTTCTCTGTTACAGTCAGTGTTCTAGAAGCATATGCAATTGGCCTTTCTGTTAAATCAGGAATTTTGTGAGAAAGTATCACACCTAACCCCACTGGTGATGCATCAGTTGCCAGTGTTAAGGGTAATTTTGGATCATAATACATCAAAATTTTTGTGAACACTATTAAAGCAACCACATTGGTGGAAGTCATCAAATTTTCAGAATGTGTCAAACTCTGAAAAACATGCGCATAATCGTTTCTCCGGTAACATGCTCATAACAAGTTTGCTGAAATTTCTATAGGAAAAGCGTTTCTTAGATAGGTGCTGTAGCCGAGGATTGCACGAAGTTTAGTTTCCACAATTCTGTTATATTTCTTTAAGCGAAAACAGATCCCTGTGTACTTCGGGAGAAGAAGAACAGCGCAAAAAAAATTACAGAAATATGAGAAAGAATGTGGTTTTTTTAATGTATCACGTAATTCTAGGTTAATAATTCAAATTTGTATTTTAGGTTGCTAAAGTGTGTTTTCATTTCATATATTGATTATGTTCATCAACTTGATAAAAATCCATAGTTCGAGAATCTTCCTAAAAAAATGGGACAAAATCACTAGCTTGCACCTGATAAGTAAATTTACCTTTTCATTTGTAACTCATTATCAGATGGCGAAAGGCGGTTGTGTTAATACATAAATATTAATTTTGTTTCACGTAAAAATGCTCTTTCCGTACTATTCCTTCTTAGGAGTGTTTTTGTTAAAAGCTTTAGAAGAAATTTATGTTTCCGTTGTTTTTTCTCCTGCTTATTCTATATATGTTAGATTGAACTTAACTTTGGAGAATATAGAGGAGTTTTGACAGTTTCAGAGCAGTTATATAATAACCACAAGCGAATAGTTTAGGCTGTATGTTTAGAATCGTTATCCTGATAGAACTTGAATCTAATTTGCATTCCAAGGTTTCTACCAGATTCTTTGAGATTTTCATAAACAATATTTATTTATTTATATCCATATTATTTTCTATGAAAAAGGAAATTTTCCATCTAAGAGACAGCGAAACATTTCCAAACCATTTTGCTTCTCCCTCCATGGTAGGCAACTGGTGTTTCGGATTCCATACTTTATTCGGCTTTCAGCGCTCAGTAATTCCTCCATAGGACCTTAATGTATTCAGTTGTGACTCATTTGCAAATATAACATTGGTTTAATAAGATAAATGTTTGCTTACCAGTTGCTTATTCAAGAGTATTTGCTTTGGTTTTTTTATTGATGAATAATTTCCTTTTTTCTGATCGCCCATTGTATTCATATGATTTAATGATTCCTTTAACAGTTTCAGGGTTAAAATGTATTCAAAATGTTCTTCGAAATCCGCTGTAAAGTATGCACTATTACTATTTTAATTTTATTTGGCTTTCCCTAGGATCATTCCTATTAACTTGGAATATGGTCCACTTAATTTTCATCGTTTATAACATTAAAGGATTTGAATGCATCAAGGTTGTTTTGATTATTTTGAATACATTTACTATCTTTAAAATGATGAACTGCTAAATTTGTAACAGAACTTTATAAAGTATTATACAGTCTGTCTCTCTTATTACACATAAACTAGAATAGGTTCTATAACGACCTGGCGAATTCTCGCACAGGCGTGAATAAAAAACTACTGACTCAGACGAAGGGTAAAAATAACCCTTTATTAATTCAAACTAGTTAACAGAAAGCACGGACTTCGTGCGTTACAAAAACACCGTCAACTTGCGGGCGTGTGTGTGATTATGGCAAAGCCTCGAGGGCTATCTGCCTAAGGGAAGGGATGTCTTCGTGGAGGAATTTATAAGGGAAACTGGCTCGTATACGCGTTACACATGGGGAAAACCACGAAAACGCCTATACAGCCGGCACGTTCGTGGGATTCGAACCTCGGACCGAACTACCAGTGCTCAGCCACTTTACCGCTCGGCCACTGGTGGGCCAACTTGCGGTGGAAAACGTGAAATGTAATTCAAGTCAAACCTGAAATAAATAGCGCAAGATCGCACTTAAGTTACGCCTAAGAGGTGGACTTACAGGAACCTAACCGGCGTGATACTAATCTGATAAGGACAAGAGGATTACTATCGTGACCGCGAAATAACAACGAAACTTGCGCTTGGCTAGCGAAACGCGCTCTGAAAATAAACTCAGATATTCACACGTTTAAATAAGTACTTCACATAACTTTAAATTTACATCCTAGCGAGGGAATGTAAGGGGAAGTTGAGAGGTCTAGAACAGTTATCAAACTTAAAATAAATGTATTATGCAAAATAAGGAAAACCCTACAGTATTTTTTATCTCCTTTTCGCATGCCATCCTCGTATAAATGGAAGCGCTTTGTATGCCTGTTCGGTAGGTTCAGAGTGAGGGCATTGAACATTTTTTACATTCCTGTATCGATATGACCTAATGTCCACAACTTGCTGTAGTTTGTAGCGTCCTGCTATGTTCACCTCAGATATGGAGCTGATATTATATTTTGCTAAACAAACAGTAATTTGTAAATGTAGACGATAATACTTGCTATGTATTTTTATTTAAAACACATAATTTTGATAAGAAACGTAACCTGCAAAACATCTTATGAAAAGATTTGAGTGTTCTAATAAATATGTGAATTAGCGATCATTACGTTTTGAATAAATTATTTTACTCCACGGAATATTTTTGATGATATTTTTTGTAACAATCAAGGCTTAAAATATAGATGTAACATAGCATATTAGGAAACATGGTACATTCGAAAAGTATTTGCAGGTCCATATTTAGCACAAGATCTACGAAACTAAATCTAAAAAATACTAGCGTTCGAAAACAAAAGTGAGCCACAGTAAAATCATCTCGAGAAATAATTTAAAGTCAAATCACATTTGTCTGAAAAAGCACTCTATCGCTGCAGATAGAGAAAGAGACAAATAAATTCTCACAAATGAGAGAGAATGGAGAATTTAGAGTAATACAAAATTGGGCAGAACTTTTTTTTTTAAATCCGTCTTAAAAAGTAAGGTAACACAAGTAATAAAATTTCGGAATACAATATTTTCTGAATATCGGATTAAGGTATTAAGATACCGAGAAACGCATATAGCTTCAAGCACGGAAAAAATGCTTTTTTTTTAAATTTAGCTCGGAAAAAAAAAAGTTTATTCTTATTTCCTTATTTGCCAATACAATTCTCGTGAAATGAAACCCGCAGTATAATCATCGAATGAAATGAGACTCCATAGTTATGTATATATATATGAAAGCGAATGAATAGAATTCCTGATTCATCTCTACGTGAGTATAGGTTTCTTTATCTTGCCTCATAAATATCAAAAGCTCTAAAGCTCTTTCATTTTTTTACTCTTCACAAGTTTTATGATATATTTCCTAAGATGCATTTGTGAATGTCTTTCACAGAAAAAGCGTCGCAGTGTTTGTCTTCGCCGCTAAGTATGAAAGCGACATTTCAAAGCTTGAAACAGGAGAATGTTGGAAATAAATTCTTTCTAAAGACGGAAACAGACTTTCTGCGTCAGTAAACAGCTTTCTCGTAAAAGTCGGCAAGCGTGTTTTAAAGTATAAATGATATAACTGAAGAACAGCGATAATAAGAACGGAATTAAATATTTTAATAGAAGAGATTTTCGAGGGATGTGAGAGTATTGCAAATGCAAATATTTTCTGTTGAGCTAATTTGTGTATCACGCTTAGAAGTAAACAGGAAAATTTGAAGTGAAGCTCCTTCGCAAATATCAACAGTATAACTCTGCCCTCATTAATTTCCTTTGATTTAAAAATTTACACGAAATTTGTTTGCTCTTTAAATTCTAAAAGATTTACACATCAGAAATATTTTGGATTTTATAAGATATTTGTAGGCTTTGAATACTAGCTGTATTGTAGGTTACGCCTATTATCGGTTTTAATCTGTATGTAGCGACGGAACGATAGGAAAATTATAAACTAGTTATTGAAATGAAATAATTATTTGCATTCGCATGAAGACTGTACATGGCAGGTCCGTGTAGATTGTTTATTCATACAGTTTCTGTGCCTGCAAATATATGAGAATAGCAGAATGGGTTCTGTTGTAAGTAGAGATGAAAGTTTAATCAGCAAATATCTCGGCGTTAGAGGGGAGAAAATGTAAAAGAATTAGATTCGTTATGAATAAAAGGAAATTAAGAAATCGTTAATGAATTTGGTAAGATATTATTTGATAATTTATATGTTGCATAATAAATTACCGAATATCTATTTAGTAAAATGTTACCGGCAGTTAATTCAATTCCTGCAAAATTCCTGTTTTGTTTGATGGTAAAAGTTTGCTGCTTAAATGCATAACAAACTGATAAATATTTCCTAAGAAGCGTTACATCTCTAGATAAAAAAAAATTCTGATGTTGACGTCTTGACTTCCTTGTACTGCCTGTGAATTTACAGACATTTTTTGCCATACTTCTTTTAAACTTATCTCTTTAACTTTCATTAGAGATATATTTCTCATTCAGTTTCATTTCGTGCCAAGACAAAAATACATAAAAACTCAAAACATTTTCAGTAGAAATTGTAATAATACACCAAAGCCTAACACACCGAATAAAGTTATAAAGGTTAAAAAAAATGACGAATAAACTTAAAATTTTTATGCGAAAAAAAGCAATTCGGCCAATGGGCAGGAAGACCAAATTTCTGGTGCACAAAATTGAAAGTTAGCTTGTGGTCCCATTGAGTAGAAAGACACTGAAGTTGGGGTGTCTGAAGACTTAATTCACTCTACTAAGTTGTTTCAAATGTAAACAAATAAGGGCTCGTTAGTCCTAGCGACACTTGAACTTTTAAATTGTTGATAATTCTGCAATACATACAGATTAAGAAAAGGCATAAACTGTAACAGTGCCCAGCAGTGTATAATTGGGGTATAATCGATCCGGTTGACGATGAAGAATTATGATTATTGTCAGTACTTTAATCTGGAAAGGAATGGCTGAGTGAACTCTGATAACATCATGTAATCACCACGTTTCAAGAAATCCCAGTCTGCTTACGTGGCGGGATGAATTTTATTGACGGTTTCTTGATTGACGTGGATCTAGATTTTCGATTGTCTGCCAAAAGACGCCCCATTGGGC